CACCTTATATTTGTGCATATTGAATGAGTGTGTGCAGATGCACCTGTGTGTATGTCTGTATATGTCTAACAAATCTGAACATGTGTGTTTGCATTGTGTATGTGTTTGTGTATTGCTATGCAAATTTAGTACAGGCAGAGAATCACTTGCTTCATTCAGAGTTCTTTGGCTGTGGCTGTGAGGACGGCATGATGAAGCTTGCTTGACTTCTCTGCAATGTCAGTCATGCACATTTTAAACAGCCAGGGAATAATGTTGGCTTTATGTCTGAGGACCAGCACCACATGCAAATAAGATCCCAGACAAACAGGGAGTTTTACATCTTTGTCCTCAGAAAACACATAATTCAAACAATATTGTTTTATGCAACTTAAACTCAGGATGGTGAGATGCCATTTGAGTACATAGTTCCAGAAAAGTTAGGACTCATTGTACAGCTTTGAAATAATGGAGTTCAGTCAGACAAAATATCAGTTGCATGTTGCCAAAAAATCTGATTTAGCCAATAATCCTTTGTAGCGTTTATTACTAAAGTACGGTGGCCCAGACAGCTCAACACTGCAACTTAAGAAAACAGTTTCATCAATTTGACAACATATGTGCTGCTAAAAAATTTCAACAGATGCAAATAAACAAACGTACTGCAAATTCAGTCCTACAACCAGCGGAAGTGATTAACCTGGCTGGGACTTGCTGTTCAATTCCCATTTGTGACTTTTGAAATTAAAACCACTGAATAACAAGTGCTTTCCAGCAGGTTCATCACTTTTTTTCCTTTTAAGTTATTTTTTGTACTTAATCCTGACAGAGACAGTGAGAGAGAGAGGAAAGTCAGGGAAAGAGAGCGAGACAGAGAGAGAGAGAGAGAGAGAGAGAGAGAGAGAGAGAGAGAGAGAGAGGATAATATGTTGCAAAGGGCCACAGTTGGAACCCGGGCCGCTGCGGTTAGGATTATGCCTTCATGTTTTTTTTTTAAATGCAATTTTTTTTTCTTTATGTGAAACATTGCTTACATTGTTTAGTTGTCATTTCAAACGTCACATTTCCAGATAAGATGCAGATGCTTTTGTTCACACTTAGCCACGTCTGTTCACTCTCCTGATCACAAATCAGATTGAAGATGAGGGAAGGATTGATAGCATTATCCATGGCCACTGTCAAAGAGGAGATGAGCTGTCATAGTACTTTTTTTTTCTTATGTTTGCTTCCCTAATAGCTCTGTAACAGACACAAAGTCATCTAGTCACTGTACCTCAGTCTTGCCCTACACTGAAAAAGTGAAAACAAACTTTAGAGTCAAAGTTCCTTCTTGACCTTGTGAATTGTAATTAAACAAAATAGTCTCAATCAAGGTCCACTACGTTCTGAATTTATCTCACAGTAGTTGTTTTGTTAGTTTAGTTTACCTGGATACCCCCCACGTGTATGATCTAAGTATGGAAATTCAGTCACTTGACAACAGGTGGTTGTTTTGTGGTTGCCAAACAGCTGCAGCTGTAACACACTGCACTGCTTTTACAGTAATAAGAATAAGTAATAAGAAACAAATAATCAGTAATCAATAAAGAGTTACATAAAAAACTTTTATTGATTTGAAAATATTTAAAATAATCATATTATTAAATATTAATATTCACACCATGTTAATTATTCACTTGCATGCTTTAGTATGAAACACAATTTTTATGTTAGTAATTTAAATATCAATGATAACGAGGTTGAAATAATCTTTTTTAGCAAATATCTCCATTGTGATTTGTCCTTGACCCATCATTTTAAAATTAATTGACAATAATTAAACTGCTCTAAGAGCAATCAAACATAATTTCTGTATATGTTAGATAACAGTTATGTTGCAGTTAACAACAGCAACAAATGAACAAATGAGATAGGTCATAGACGACCTGTCTGTCTGACTCTCCAGGATTTCAGATGGAATTAAAGTAGTTTACCACATCTTATCTACTGAAGATGGGTCTCTAAGCAACACGGTCTTATCTTCTAGAGCAATGAAACTGTGTCTGTGTCAACCACACACACGTGTTTGTTTGTATGTGTGTGTGTGTGTATGAACCTATAATGAACTGGCCTCATTATTTCTGAAGAGGATATTGCTTGCTTTGTGTCTCCCTCACTTATCATGCTGAATGCATCATACATAATGCAACACACACACAAATGCACTGAGTTACTAACCAAAAAAAACACCCATGTAAGGAGGTACTCAAATCCAAACCCACACACAACTCTGCCAGCTGTTTTGTTGAGCTACGCACATGTGATCAGTGAAGTACATTTACTCAGAAAGTGTTTGTGATGCGGGTGACTCAGCCCTGTGTTTTGTTGCTGGGTGAACCAAGCTGACTTCCTGCTCCAGAGGGCAGTGACAGGCTGAAGCCACATCTGTAGTCTGACTAGTCAACTCCTTTTGGCTTCATACAGATGTTTGATTTGAAAGATTCATCAGCATTCAGAACGTCAAATCCACATCACACAAAAACCAGACCTTCACCCTGGTTAACAGACCAACTTTGACTCATGACTGTCTATCTGTACATGGCAACTGGACCCTGTTACCAGAAGTTACATTTTCAGGGTCCTGGCAATGCCCTGTGCCCTAAAACAGGAGGCACAACCTCATATCTCATTGATAAAATGAAAAACTAGTAAAAACTAGTAACCCATGTGAGCGTTTTCTGAGATGACACCCAGTCAGTGTCTACTAAAGTGGCCAAAAATTATTCTTATAAGTGTTTTCTGTTGTGTCACCTACATGGCTAAAGGATCATACGATTTAACATTTAGGTCCAATAGAGCAATGGTTCTCAAACTTTTTCACATCAAGGACCCTAAACTGACACAAATTAGACCATGGACCCCCATTTCATAAGATTCTGTCACAGGGCCCCCCATCTAATACGATTTTTGCCTTTAGATGTTTTATTACAGAAAGTGTTTGAAACCATTGACCAAAATATTCATACATTCTGTCATTGTGTTAATTATGGATGGAATTACAGTGAAAATAATTTTCCCTTTTTTGCTGGGAACCTCAAGGACCCTGGGGGTCCCTGGACCCTGCTTTGAGAACCATGGCAATAGAGTAAAATTAAATTGCAGTCAGCTGATCAGATATTTTATAAACAAACTTATAGCAAAATTTATAAACAAGCTAAATGTATTTGGAAGAGGAAATGTAGAAAAATATAAACTGTTAAATAACAAAGTTTTCCTTTACCCATACAGGTGACACATCAGAAAACGTTCATGTGAATAGATTTTGTAATGTTCATATCTGATTCAGATTCAGAGATCTGTTGCCTTCCATTCAGTCCAAATCCATTTTGAAATCAGATAAACAAAAAAAACCTTCACTTTCATTTTCTACTTTTCACTTTATAATTCAAAAACACTTAGTTTTTGCTTTTATTCACCATATATATATATGTGCTTGACAAAATAGAAGTTTTTGAATGAGGAGGGTTGAATTTTGTGATTAACGTGAGGATTTTCCTCTTTCAGCTAGCTTGCTAATGTTAACTCTCCAGAAACACCTGGACTACCCCTTTTTCACAGTAACTTCGAGGTGGGAAAGTTGTGCCTTTATTCTGCCTCGCCATTCTAAGGTATGAATATTTTTTTTCCGCCCTTATACTGGCAGTGGAGGTAGTCACAGAGACGGATTCAGTTCTGTGTAAAAGGGAGAACTGGCATGGTGGGACAGAAGTAGATTGTGGAACACCAGCATGCTGATCTGAATCATTCAGTATGAATTTGGCATTGAGCTTGGCTGAGGTCTGTGCTCTCTGTGTGGCCCTCTAGTCTTGTTTCTATGTTAATTTGATTAAACAAAAAAAAAGAATTAATTGATTTTTCATCTCCCCTGATGGTGAAATCAAAGAGTTCAAATGTACATGGACACAGGTCCAATGCATTGAAAATTTTTGAACTGAATCAACCATGACACTGGATACCCATTGCACCTTAAATGCGCTCCATTGTTGCACGTCTGTGTTATCAAATGTTCAAGCTGCTAAAAGGAACATAAAGTGGAGTTCATGCTTCCATTATCTTTTACATTACTCTTGGATTAAAGAGATATGTGCTTCCTGTAGCAATGAAGCCCAAATGTAAACATTAACACTAAAATTTCAGTGTCACAGTGAAACAGCGTTATGACAGAATAAACCAACATGAAGCTCACTGTAAGATGTATGATATACAGCCCTACCTATTATTTTGTAGAACTCATGTGGTCTGTTTTTATTCATTAGAGTCATGTTTCTTGAATAGATATGATGATGATTTTTGTAAATCAAATCTATTATTATATTGTAATGATATTCGGTATAACAACAATGTCACTTTAACACTCACTACTGCTGTACACAACATATTGATTGATGGTATTTGTATTAACAACAAATTATAAAAAAAAATTTTGATTAACATTTGGAAAGTGAGAGGGATGTGAGAGAGTGGCATCAAGAAGCAGGATGTGAGGTTGTGATGCTGGGCGGGGAATGGGGGTCTTACCTTCAAAGTCTCCACAAGAGGCAGAGGTACCTGGTAAGGACCAGGGTCAGGTTGGGGTCACGTGAAACATCATCACCGATAAGTGGTCAGGGTTGGGGATACGGTTTGCTTAGCTGCGAGTTGAGGTGAGGAGAAATACGTCACTTCCCTAAAATTTACTCGCCAACCCTGCGGGGAGTTCAATGGCCTGTCTGGCCTTCCCCTCTGCTACTCGGTGCAGCCCTCAGGACCTCTGGGTAATGTAGTCTCACTGAAATGCAGGTCATCTTATTTTTTTAAATATTTAGGTATGTTGGTATATTCCCTAATCTTACACAATTACATAGGTATGTCTGTTAAAAACTGGCTGTGAAGTGCCTCACTGTCCATGTTCACACGCGTTAGATGTCTTTGCTATCCTCTGATAAAACTCCATATCCCATGCAGCGTTTCGCTTCGCGCGCATGCTCCATGAACACGAACGAGGACAGGGGACGATGGAAAATGACTACAGGGAGGCTCTCATCTTTGGCTGGAATTAGATATTATCACTATGAACTGTGTGCTATTTTTTTAAAAGCCATTTCTTCGTCTGTTTTAAGTGTCAACCGAACAGCTCCAGAGGAAACCTGTTGACACTGGAGAGTCTGAAGGCTTTTTTTACCACGGTTGTATTTGTGTCGGGAACAGTGCCAGAGACACACTGATAACCGTTAGTTTTTTCCGCAGCCAGGATGCCGCGGGACAACAAAACTCCTCTGATTCAGAAAATAGCGAAGCAGGCCTACATCACCTTTAAAGGCCTCAAGTCTTCGGCCAACGGGGATAATAAACTGGCTGCGGACCAACAGAGTGAACTCATCTCCTTAGTGACCGCGGTCAGGGCTGCCGACCTCAAAATTGCACCCCGGAAAAGCAAAGCGAGCTCCGCAGCAGCAGGGCTCCAGAGTCCCCCGGTCACCTACATGCACATCTGCGAGACGGAGGTGTTCAGCATGGGGGTGTTCCTCCTGAGGACCGGTGCCTCCATACCACTGCACGACCACCCGAACATGAACGGGATGCTGAAGGTCTCTACACCTCGTGTCTAATATGTTGTGGCCTGTAGTGAGCCACTCTGTGTATTTGTCTTTGAATTGTTAATAGATAGAAACAGCTAGAAACACGTTTTTAAGATGAAGCATATGGCTCAGCGCAAATTTAGACGTGAAACTGTTTTGTGACTCAATCATTTTATAATTTAATTAATTTCATAATTCACCAACTCCAGCTTCATATGTTTTTGGAGTTGTGGACCTTTAACAAAACAAAGCTGACACAGCAGCTAAACTTTTGATTTTCAAATTCGGTTTGTAGTAATTATTATTTTCATTTGTTGTATATCACAGAAAGCTGAGAGAGAGAGAGAGATGTTGGGGCCACTCTGCCATCCATTTCTACTGTCACAGTAACCACCACAATGCTCACATATCCAGGGGCCCAGTGGCCCCTGTGTGCACACAGAGGGCACCATGAACACTAGTAATGCACCAATACCAAGGCTGGATTACCTGTCCTGGGCCCCAGACCCTGAGGGGCCTCAAAAGCTCCAACTTCAAATCAGCTCAGTGGGTCTGCTGTTATTAGTTAATTTTGTGTAGATACACTGTTAAATCAGATTTAAAGAGCTTTTTTATTTCAGTTAATGTGCTCACATTGTGCATATTCCTGAATTAAGATGTGTGTAAATTGTTGATGTACAAACCTACCCTCCTTTAGTTAAATGTCAGGTAGTTACAGCCACATGTTACCTAACATATTAAAGAATCAGTTCTAAACACTGAGCTATTGAGAGATTCTACACTGAACGAGAAAATCAGCACATCAGTCAGAATTCAGAGGGAAGCTACTGGATTCAGTATCAGCAGAGAAAGGCTATGCACTTATCCATTCTCTTTGTAACTCTTGACACTGATGGGTTGCTTCTATGATTTAGTGTTCCTCTTATTAATATCTAATTAATGAAAATATATCTTGTTAATCTTCCTTCTGCACCTGGGCATGCTGAATATTTCCCCTAAGGACCCATAACAGCAGCCCCCAAGTCATCTCACTTTGGCAATGGAGGCTCTGATAATTGGAAAGGGGGCACAGTTGTTTGATTCCCTGAGGTAAAACACATTGTGGAGTTCCAGTTACCAGCATGGAGCTTGGCATCTGATTGCTGCCAGTGTGAAAAACATCTGCTTTATAACGAGAAACTTTACAGTGTATCACTCTTCTGTATTTCATCAATATAACTTCACTGAAAATGAACAGCAGTACTTTTTCAAAGTCATGATGAGTCAGTTGTATGCCTATAGAGGAAACTGTGATATTTTAGTGTTGCTGGCCTTGAACATGGGTCATGGGTTGTTGTATAATGATAAAATAAGAAGGGGGAGAGTGTGCACATCCATCCCCAGCATGGTACAAAAGATAAAGAGAGGTTATCCATATACTGAATATTGCAATCTGAAAACGTAATGATGAAAAAAAAATCTATCCTAGGAATCCAGGGAAAAGATTGATATAGGAAATGGAATCAGTAGATTCAAAGATGACTTTGTAATTGTAAGAAATTGTAATCATAAACTGGTATGTTGTGTTCCTTTCTGCAGGTTCTCTATGGGAAGGTGAGTGTACGCTGCTTTGACAAACTGGAGGACAACTTGACTGTCAATGCCGTCCCGCCTCATTTTGATCCCCCACTGACCTCGCTCCAGACGACCTCCCTTTGGCGCTCCATTCTCCGCTCAGTTGCAGAGTACTCAGAGAACAGTGGGCCATGCCTCCTCACTCCTCTGAGGGATAACCTCCACCAGATCGACGCAGTGGAGGGGCCAGCTGCTTTCCTGGATATCCTGGCACCGCCATACAATCCAGATGACGGGCGGGACTGTCACTATTACAGAGTTCTTCAAACTGTGGCAGAGAGGCAAACAGATGGAAGGAGCAATGAGGAGCAGCAGGAAGAGGAAAAGGAGAAAGAAGAGGAGACATGGCTACTAGAAATCCCTCAGCCAGAGGACTTCTGGTGTGGTGGGGAACCCTACCCAGGCCCTGCAGTCTCTATCTGAATGAAAACTCTGAGCACTGCAGTAAACACCAGTGATAATATTCTGATATCCATCCATCCAAAATGGTAAACTTTGTGTTGTCCCCTTCCACAGGAAGGTCAAACATGAGGGTCATTATTACCTGCAACTCAAAAGAGATTGAGTGCCTTTCTCAAGGATGCTGCAGCAAGGCAGAAGCTTGCAGAAAGAGGAACTTGAACTCTGACACTACATCACAATAAGGACCACTGATCTTCCTTCCACACGCCTTACACTAGAATGGCATTCAGCAGAGTGCATACCTCCGCCAAGGCCAAACAATCCTACTCACGTCTGGCAGAGCCAGATTATTATCGGTCTATCCAGATTATTATATGGATCTGGAGATTATTATCTGGATCTGCACCAAATTGTAAAAACTCATAGATCTCAACACCATAAATATGTTCTTTTTTCACACCAAGATCCAAACATTATTTCCTGAAAAATTGACGAAAATGTTGAAAAATGCCCGCAATTTTAAGGAAACTGAATCCAAATTTAATGGGTTTCGGCCAATCACCCATCCCTTCACCAAATTAGCTGTAAATCGGTTCAGTACTTTTAGTATAATCCTGCTGACATACAAACAAACACAGATGAAAACACAAGCTCCTTGGTGGATGTAAAAACCTTGTCAGTACTGGTAAAAGTATTGAATCCAGGAATTCTCTTACGAGTTATGGTATTCTTCTTTGGACCATTATGTTGCCTTGTGCACACATGAATGTCATTAGTCAAATGTTCTGTAACTGGTGGGGTCATCAGGGTCTCTGTTGTGTGTCCTATGAAGCTTAGACAGCCGTTCACACATGATATTTCACTGTGCTGCAGTGGACCTCCACACTCTTATGTGTCTTAATGCCAAAGCCTGTAACTTAAATCATACCTGCCTTATTTGTGAATATTGAATGTATACTTCTTCAGATCGCTATTTTTATCATACACACTAATTTCTCATTCCAAAGTGCACACACTACATTATACGTACTTTATTTTTATTTCTGTGTGTAACTTATTCCAGGTGACATGGTTCCCTCACAGGTCTGGACAATTAAGGGAAACAAGCTGATGTTCGGCTCTTTCTACATATTTGGTGATGGTATTATATTGTCATTTCTGCTAATGTAACGTGATGCATCATATTAAAGACGGACTAAAATCTTTAAACCCAGTCTAGAAACGGTAGTCCATGAAAAAGTATTTTACAAAAAGAAGCTGTGTCAGGGAACATCAACATTTTCATGGTATAAAGCCAACACACGGAGACTTTCTTCACTACCTTTTACACATAGATAAACACTTTATGATTCCTATCTCTATGTTACATAACTTTATATACTTTGGCCTATATTAGACTCCACACATGTGCCAGTTTGACAATGATTCTGTTACTCTAATGATGAATGTAAGTGCAACAATAAAGTAGACGGGAATACTCATTTAATTTCTGTTTCATACCACTGGTGTTGTCGTCTTCTTGACTTTTTGATTTTGGTCAATACAACAACAAAATGGCTTTTACTTTTTGATCTATCAACAAACTTTTCCATGGGTCTAAATGAATTTAAAGAATAGAATCTGGTCAGTGTGGCTATTATTCAGTGGACAGTTTGACTTGTCCAGCAGGAAAAAGATGTGTAATCTGACATTAATGATGCGGTGGAATTCAACCATCATGAGTTGACATCATTCATGTCATAGGAGGAGAAACACAGGTGTGGTGTTTCTCCTCCTATGACATGCTGTGAAAAAGGACCAGTCAGGCTAAAAGGCTTATACACTAAACTGTGACCACAGCATGCAGATGGACTTGTTAGGGATGTGCCACTAAACAGGAAGTGAGCTCTTTTTCTGCTTCACTTTTCCTGATCATGATCAGTGTTTTTGGCTGATCCACAGATGAAGCTTTTTCTTTCAATGGGCTGTAGGCCAAGTCAAATATATTATGCCTAGTTTGAGTCAATGTCATTATTATTTTGACTTATGTGAAGTTGGTCCAGTCAACCTACAAACCTACTTCTGGAGACCTCTGAGGTGTCTGCACAACACTAAACATGTTTTGTTCATAATAGAGTGTAGGTCCCTGTGACACCTATAGTGTATTTTTTTGTATGTGTTAATGGAGCTCAGAGATTAAATTACAATGTAAAGTGATGCCAGACATTTTTTTGAATGTAAAAATCATTATTCTGCTTATTTTCTCTAATACAAAGAGCAGCTATAAATGACATTTTAGATTTATTTGTCCATTGGTTTAAATAATCAAGTTAAACTGGACCTGTCCCATTGCTGTGTCCAGTTATGTTCTGTGGATTCCATATTTCACTTAGTAAGCTGAAGCAAATTGTTGTCATTATAATATTATATAACAATTTATATTTAATTGTAATAATTATTATAACTATGAAAATAAGATCCAGGTTGTAAAAACAGACTTAGTCCAGTCAGCGAGTCACCAAACTGAATCTCAGGACAAACAGGATAAACACAAACTGCATCTGCTGGAAGGTTTAGGTTTTCTACTGTCACTGTACACTTACCACATGGGAACGACATGTTGAAGCAAATATTTGGAGAATGTTCAAACTGCGGAGCTCACATCGATCTGTGAAGAGAGCAAGGGCTGTAGAAGTGTGCTCCATCACTTCCTCTGCTGCCACAGCGCTATAAAATCTAACAGGTTTACTCCTACAGGGCTTTAAATCCAAATTGCTCTGCATGAGGAGGTCAACATGTCCTGTACCTCTTGTGCTACAGCAGAAATAAAATCTCACCTGTTTGAAAAGCACACAGAAAGTGGAACCTTCACATCCTAATATATGTTCACAAAAATCTGGACCCCGTACATATGCAGCCTCAGTGGCCCCCATTCCTCTTTTAATCTGTGCAAACTTCTGTGTAGCCTGATTTTACTATATTTTTTCAATGATTACTCCTTAGCATTAGCATAGTGCTGCAACGGGAGTATATTTGTTCATTTTAGAACAGGACTGGATTAAACCATGTGCAATGACAGTACGACTGAGAGGCTCTTATATTGTTTTACATACAATTCATACAATCTGTCCAACTGAGTAATGCTGCTTCAAGTCCTGAGCACAGACAGATTGTCAAGTCTTTTTAAATGAGGTTCCTAAAGAAAAAAAGTTCACTAAACACCTCATGCTTGGGGTCCCATTGGCTCACAGACTTGGGGCCCTCAGATGTGATGTCTATAGTTGGTCAAAGAGGTCAAAACTCCAGCAACACTTGCAGTATACAGACTAACTTTTAAATACATTTAAATAGGGTAAGTATGGGACATAAAAAAAAACAACCAACGATATTCAAACACATACATATCTGCAAATGGGGCTTCTACAAAGATGGGTTGGGAGTATGGTCATGTGGATTTAGACCAATTTTTTGTGTCAGGCTGGTAGAAAGGTAAAGTGAATGCCAAAATGAGGACATGGGGTCAACATATTTAAAGTAGTTCATAGAAAGTGCACCTAAGGGTGCTATTTAAGTTTGTACAAGAGACCTTGTCTCAAAATGTGTTCATTTGAGTTTTGATGTCTTTAGACTTTTTCCTTTCTCTGTGCACCTTGGAAGTGTGAAGTTGTTCACATGGACAGTTGGACCCTTAATGTCACAAATGTTAGATTGGAGTTAAATGAGAAAACAGGTTAACCATTGCAACCTGAACTGTGAAAGGTATGTTTATGTTATATTTAAGAGTTGAAAAGGTAGAACATTAAATGAGTTAAGGGAAATCCCTAAGACAGAGTGACAGAGGATTCAGTGATCCGAAGAGTCAAATGCAGACAGAGAACAGTAGAAGAGAAAAAGGTCAACGTCCGGAAAGTTTTCTCCCACACGTTGACACAATAGAATATTTGTGGTGCGGCTTGAACATTGTTGTTAATTTGTGGTTCTTATTTGATCTGGCATAAAATTTGAAGAAATCAGTGTAAAGTTGAATATACAATATTTGTTGAAGCCAGGTAGAGCCCTACCAGAGCCCTGGTAGAGATGTCAGAGAGGGATGGTATGAGTTTTCCCAGACCATTTAAGTCTGGTTATATTTATTAGGAAATATTTCCTGATTTGGCATCAGGCAGGTATGACACCAAATTAGTATGCAACAAGATAATGAGACAAGTGCAGATGCAGCGGTGCACACTGACCATCATGAACCATAAACTAGCTATATGCTGGGTGGGGGGTGGGGGATACAGTGGTGGTCTTTGTTCAGCTCATGATGACTTTCTACAGTGTTGCTCATTTGTTCTTGTGGTGAAGTTGACGTCAGAAGAATAAAGATGTTATAGATTACTGCAGGCTTCACCGCAGTTTCTTATGAGCTGGGAAATGTCCTTGTTTTCTGTCTTCTCCTCAATCAAACAGTCTCATTTGTGTGTGTCCAGCACAGAGCACGTCAGAGATTTTTAGGCTACCTGTCAGAAACTGAAAACCACAGCTTCCAATACAAAACTGCTTTATTTACACTCTAGATATCAAGACACAATATGTGACAAGAGCTTAAAATTAGATAAACAATATATATATGATTTTGTATGCAACTGTGTACCAGGTGTGCATTAGACAACAATCAATTAAAAAAATTCTAGGCTCTAGACTGGTTTCAAAGGCACTCGTACAGTTATACAGAGTAAACTGAACCATTTCCTGGCATTTAATCATTCTCAAAACACAACTGCATGGTGTGTCTATGTAGCTGCACTTTAAGTACTGAGAGTCAGAAAGTAGATTTGGTCAAGTGTCAAATTATATTAACTAACTAACTAACTAACTAACTTACTATAATATTAACACACTGGCTGACTCATTCTAGGTTGTTACTGTTTATCCTGGAATATTTAGTTTTAGGATTAAACTCGCTGAATGACCACATCAGATACCTGCTCCACAACAAAACAATAACCAAATCTGTTTTTCTGTGATGTTTAACCAACGTCATCACAGTTTATCGGTCTTGGATGCCTCAAACAGTTTGTTGTTTAACATGAGTCTGACACTGAGTCTGTCTTTAATATTAGCTGTAGTTTATCTAAGGATTAGGGCTAGGGAGCTACCCTATGGCACAGTTATATCTACTGTGTGAGTAGTGCCAGTCACTTCTTGCCTGTTCATCCACAAATTCAACTCAGATAAAATGTATATAGTTGGGCATAAAAAAGAAATGAAACACTTTAAAATATCAATTTATTATTTTCATTTACAAACACATTTAATGACTTCACAATACAGTTTGTCCCATTTAATTTTAAAGGCCTTTCCTGTAGCAGCAGATAGGGGGTCTTTTGTAAATAGTCACATAATTTATCTAAATCTAAACTTGAGCAGTATTAATCAATTATGACAGGTCAGCATAATAACAGGGAAGGAAAACAAATCAACATCAGAAAGTCACTTTAGATGTTTCAGTGTTCAGCTTCAGAAAGTTTGCACACATGTTTGCACTTTTTTTGTTTTTTGCAAAGTAATTAAAAATCAAAAGTTGAAATCTCTCATTTACAAAAGTATTCAAAGCCTATGCTGTGGCTGCAGACTGTGGTCAGGGTCTTCCTGTTTGCTTTAATTATTCTTGAGATCTGCCTACAACTTGATTGGACTCCATGTGTGGCCTCCTGTCAGAGTTTCAGGAGCACAGTGGTCTCAATAACTGTGAAATGGAAGAAGTTTGGAACCACCAGGACTCTTCGTAGAGTTGGACCATCCAGCCAAACTGAGTAACTGAGCAAGAAGGGCCTCGATCACAGAGGTGACCAAGAACCAATGGTCACTCTAAAGAAACGGCTGCTGGAAGGATGACCATCTCAGCAGCACTCCATCAATCAGACCTTTACAGTAGAGTGGATAGAGAGAACCCACTGTGAGTAAAAGGCATATAGCAGCCTGCTGCAATTTGTCAAACAGCATTTAAAGGACTCTGAGAGCATGAGGAAAAAGATTTTCTCTGATGAGACAAAAACTGAACTCTCTGGGCAGGACTCCAAACATCTGGTGAACACCAGGCACTGCTCATCACCTGGCACCAGCATGGTGGGAGCAGCATCATGCTGTGGAGGGCTTTTCCTGAGCAGGGACAGAGAGATGGTCAAAACTGAGGGAAGGAAGAATGCAGCCAAATACAGAGAGGTCCTTGAAGAAAACTTGCTCCAGAGCAGGTGACCTGAGACTGGGGCTACAGTTCACCTTTCAGCATCACAATGACCTGAGGCAAACAGCAGAGACAACATTGGAGTGGCTTCAGGACAAGTCTCTGACTGAGGGGACCTGTCAAAGTGTGCAGAGACCTGAAGATAGCAGTTCACAGACACTTCTCATCCAACCTGATGGAGCTTTAAGGATCTGTCAGGAAGAAAGGAATAAACTATCCAAATCTAGATATGTAAAGCTTGTAGAGACTCACCCAAGAAGACAAGGAGCTGTAACTGCTGCCAAAGAGGCCTCTATAAAGTAATTAATTAAAGCTCTGAATACTTTTGTAAATGTGAGATTTCTTTTTTTGATTTTTAAAGAATTTGCGAAAACTTCTAAAATCAAATTTTCACTTTGTCATTATTAATTATTAAGTGTAGATGTAACATATAATATAACAAAATGATGTACGAATGATGGGAGAAATGGTTATTTTATACATTTACAATCGAATCGACGACACAATAAAGTGAAGGGGTCTGAATACTTTCTGAAAATTTATCTAAACTGCTAATGGCTTACAACGGGCCTTTACTTTGACTCTAATAGTACTATCCATAAAGTACCAATATTTTATGGGTGAAATGTGCCAAAAAAGAGACTAAAAATACAAGTAGATTTTTCTTATTTTCTTCCAAGCACAGGAACTAACCATTTTCATGTGGTCCATAAAATGAAGAAGCTTTTGTTTTACTCAAATAAAATGCATCTCACTTAAACTTTTGTAAAGTTTACTTTACAGCATCAGTACACATTCTCTAAATTGGTTCCATTGTGTGATGAACCCTTTAGATGCTAAGGTAAAGCACCATAAATGATTGTTATTCCACAAGTGAAACGAACCACATCCTGGAGCTTATAAATATACAGACATTTAGTAAAGGGAAAGGAAACGGGTGACAACAGCAGCCCAGTCCTGAAAGGTATTAGGTGTGTGTGAGTCACAGACAACATCAAAACATGAAAACACACCTTTAGCTTGTAAAGGTTTGGAGGGAAGACCAGCTTGTTTCTGATGCACTTCAAATGAAAAGAAATATAATTTACACAATCATCTATAGAGTATCAGGAAGTCACCTCCTCTGTCGTTTCCTCTGAGGAGTTTACATACTACTATTAAGATGTAGGCTGCGTAATATCTCTTTTAGCTATACACCGATCAGCCACAGCAGTAAAACCAGTTGATCCGTGTAAGATGATGCCAGTATTTTTAGATCCAGTGTATTATACTTTTAGGCCAACAAATTAATTGCTAAATAAGTAAAAACAAAGGAATAAATGTAAATATAAAGGATCGAGTATTTCTGTGTCACATTCTTAGCAGCGTTAAGGCTTTGAACAGCATTTAGACCTCCACACTGGGAAATAAACTTATTTATGTATATAAAAATTTTAACTGTTATAGTTGGATAAATTGAATTTTAAATAGTGGGCTGAACTATTTCTAAAATCTTTGCAATGTATCTATTTATGAATTTACTGAATGATGATTTTTCTTACTTTTTTCTCAAACACATGATGGTGTTTCGAGACGAATGACCTGTATTAAATATATGAGCCATGAAGAATAGTTCAGCTATTTTCTGTTCACTGCGACAAACTGCGGACTTCTTTTGTTGTGGCTGCAGAACTTAAAGCAAAACTATTTGCATGCGAGATCATCGCCTGTTTATAACCTGATGTGACACCTAAATAACAAGTGAGTGGGTGAAAACTCTGAGTCACTTATGCCATGGGTGACGCAACGTGGGATTTACCCAATAAATTTCCAACATTAACTTTTTACATGTTTTATAAATGTAGATGATACAATTTCATTTGCCACTTTCAACCCGCGCACGTTTGTGTTCCATGAAAGCATCACGGTTGACACGTTAGTTCTGAGTGATAAACGAGACTGATACCGGCAGTGTTTAGCATCCTCAACATTTAATAAGTCTCAAAACACACATCACAACAAAACTGTCAAGTCGCTATTAGTTCGACATATTTACACTCCAACATGGTTTTACACGTGAACCACAATTGCTGAACAATGGGAGTTACACGAGACGAGATGTGTACAAAAATAGAAAGTCTTTCACCTGTACATATTAAAAGACAAATACACACTGCATGAGAAGCGTCCTTGAATCAGTCAGTGTACAAAAAGACACGCAGCAAGGCACTAAAGGGGAGATACAGTCATCAACAAACTCGTTAGAATCAACACTTTGTCAATTCAATAACTTAAAACAGATTTCTTTGTTCAAAACGTTATTGCAGTTATTTCACATTTGAACGTGCAGCCTGTGCGCGCTCAATAAGTGTGGCGATATTTCAAAATCCCCTTTATTACAACCGCCCTTGTATAATCTCATTTATTAATGGCTATATTTACTTGTATTTTCAGTAGACTGTGCAGGCAAAGTGCATTCGTGTCAGTCTGTCTGTCAGTTCTGGAGCAGGAATGGATGGATGTGCGTAATTGCGCACGATTGCACAGAAATTATTGTTTATTCCCATCCTGGTGTTTAGGCTGTTATCTTTAGTTCACAACAGTTTCAGTCTAATTATTCGATGCTTGTTTCCTTTTTAGGGGTTAGTGTGCGTCACGCTGCCATGGTGACAAGAAAATTTTCTAACTATGGACAGATCCCGTTGGTTGCGCTGATCCCGCCTGACGGCCGCTCCAGCCCGCAGCTGCCGGACGAGGAGGAGGACGAGGAGGAGACAGTGGAGGACTTCCTCTCCTTCTGCCTCAGGTGGATTTTAGTGTGTCTCTTCCTCTCGTCGCTCCTGGCGAACTTCCGGCCACAGAAGTCGCAGGCGAACGGCTTCTCCCCCGTGTGCGTACGAATGTGCGTGGTGAGATGGTCACTGCGGCTGAAGTTGCGCATACAGATCCGACACTGGAACGGCTTGTGTCCAGTGTGGATGCGGATGTGTCTGGTCAGTTCGTCAGAACGGGAGAACCGCCGATCGCAGCCCTCCGCAGGACAGGGGTACGGCCGCTCATGGATGGGTGTCTTGCTGGGTCTGTTCGGGTACTTTCTGGGTCGCAAGATTGGCCTCAGGGGCAAGTTCTGTGGGCTGTATGCAGAGGGAAGCCTCGGCGGCCCTCCCTCGGCGCCACCACTACCCGGACCCCCCAGCGTAAAGTTCCTGATAGTGTTCAGCGGGGTCAGGGGTGGAGGGACGCGGAATGTATCGAGCGGACATGGGCCGAATGGTTTCCGATCCTGGATACCTGCCGTGTGCATGTCCCGCTGGCAAGCCGGCTGGAAAAAGCCCGAGTAGTCGGGGATGATGGGGAACAGCCCCGGCGCGTCTGAGCTGCCAGGCTGCTTGGGTGAAGAGTAGGAGGGTGGTGGGTAGGAGGCGATAGGACAGGTGGAAGTGGACAAAAAGGCCGAGGGATCCTGGTACACCTCCCCGCAGCCAGAAGATGAGTAAGGAGGTGGGGGGGAATAGAGGTGATGGTGATGGTCTATCTCTGCCTGGTTCTGAGCCGCCATGGTGCAACTCAAATTTCCGCTGGAGAAATGACTGGGAGATCCTGAAGAAGCCGGGGAAGAGGACGCTGAAGAGGAGGGAGGAGGAGGAGGCGGCTGGGCCACGTTGAAGATGCCCGAGACAATGTTGATCACTCCCTCGGGGTTCCAGTTACCTGGATACTGGGAGTCGATGGAGAATTTTCCCATGTAGGTGAAAGTCTGGTTGCGGTGGGGCGCGGGCTGAGAGAAGCCGCTGGAGTAGGAGGAGAGGTCCAGAGAGCGCTTCTCTGCGCTCATGTCCGCGCTCATCAAGCCATCTGCACAGGAAAACAAAACAAGTCATTAGTGAGGCAACACAAACAGGATTAATTAACCTGTTCACACTAGACAGGAAAGTGGGCTTTAAGTGGAGAGAGGACAGGTGCGTCTCTGTTCCATTACGCACGGACTCTGTTCTTATCATGTCATTACGAATATACGAAACACAGCCTGTAAACTCCCTTTTTTCACTATGACAGGCAGAAGAAAGTTGTAAAGTTGTAATTACTCAAGCGTTCGGGGGATATGCTAGACAACTTTAAATACGTGAACAATCCACATTTCTTCAGTAAACACTACAGGAGTATCAAACTGTGTGTCGTCTTACCTGCTGTCACATTAAGCTGGTCGTAATGTGCCAAGTCTGTGTTGGGGAAGATAGCCACAGAGGTCGGCAAGCTGGTGGCGATGTCATCCACCGAGTACACGCTGTCAGGATGGACGAACCCCCCGAGATTCACCGGCACCTTCTCCAAAGTTTTAGCAGTCATTTTGAAAGAGAAAAGCTCGTATGTAGTCTCTCTCTTCTCTTCTTTTTTCTTCCAAGTTTATAACAAACAACAGTGTGTCACCCAGCCGCGCGTGGGTCACCACTGCATGTCTCTGTGTGTCACCGGGTGTGAGAAGATGAGCTCCGTGTGTGTGCTGCGCTTCATGCGCTCTGCTGATAAAGTTAACTCTTGTAGGGAACGCGGGCCCTGGCACTAGTTTGTATATATGGGGAACCTTTTGAATGCGACCATACGTCATTACCCAAATATGGAGTGGGAGGGGTGATGGAAGCGGAGAGGGGAGAGGCGCTGCCGATGCTGATTGGCTGAAAGGCTCCGTGACGATTACAAAGGGAATCACTTGTCAATGGAGAACCCGCTGCTCGAGGAGCGATAAAGCGACTTTTCCACTCGACGTTAAACAGCAGCAAACAACCAAAAAACTACACAGCAACAAAACATGATGCAGAGAGAAAACAGTGCTTCATTGCATTCAGCTTTATTTTATTTATCATTCTTTTTTTTACATCTATATTCTCATGTATCTTCTGTTTAATCGCGCTCTGATATCAAAAGAGGAATTCCGGTCGAGCTTCTTAACCCATAAAAGGTTGAATCCGGTAAACAGAGGAACACCCCCCATGCTCCATATTTGGTTTTGATTCCGGAATATGATCATCGGAAAGTGACGAGTTTTACCGAGCTGAGCGAGAAGGAGAAAGCCGCTCTGGTATAACCACAATTAAATGAGACGGACAGACGAGCGGAATTTACTCCTTTGGGTGCGAGAGGCTGTATGGGCGCGGAAACTTGTGTCAGTCTGATTTGACTATGCTCTAGGAAAGAATAGCTTTGGTTCGTTGACGAGTTAAATATAGTCATTTAGAGATATTTATAGAGCTCAGCTAAAGGAAACCAGTATTTATAGAGGAAGAGGTGGGGGGCAATGTGAAATGAACAAAGGGTGAATTCTAAAGGTGACAGTGGGTCACACAAACAAACACCTGACACTAAGTCATAATATGTGAAATATGGTGATTCATTATGTAGTAGTTTATTTGTAGTGTTTTTACATGCTGCTACAACCTCTGTAATATATACTGTACAGTTTGTAGTTCTTAATTGTCAGTCAGTAAGGAGAATTGTGTGCCCTCCTGTGGCCTCCTTAAGAAGTCCCCACCACCACCACCCTTTCACTCACACACATACTCAGATTATGGACTCATTCTGCTCGTTTGATCTTGTAAAGTCCCTCCGTGGGTGGACAAAAGTACAAAAGTTGACAGACAGAAAACAGAAATTATTGGGCACCTTGGGTGGAATATAGTTTCCATTGTGTGTGTGTGTGTGTGTGTGTGTGTGTGTGTGTGTGTTTTGCACAATTCACAGACTGAAACTACTTCTCAATGCAGAACATTCTGATGTCAGGATGGTTGTGCTGAAGCTAGATTAGACACTGACCACGCTGAGATATTATCTCAGCCATCAGGAAACACAACAAATTGTTATATATTTTTGTGAGAGCGTGACCAAAGCCTACCAAATGTAAATAAATAACTGAGATAAATACAGAGATATTCTTCATTATGGCACAACTATGCTGTCTGTGTTGTAAAAATAACATTATAATGTGACCAGTGACATTTTAATGGTATATACACTATTGTGATAGTACATACTGTTCTGTTCTATAGAGATTAAAAAAGAAATAACAACTAAATTGGACATTTTGGTCTTAAGACTAAAGAAGATTTCTGAATAATATTTACAAATAAGAAGCTGTATAACATCTACATTCTTGTAAATTCAGGTGAAGATCAGCTTTTGGATGATGACAAGACATGAACTCTGGTGTCCTGCATAAGAGTCAGCTGTGCTGCATACCAATCCACCACCTTGACCTCCACACCATTTCAATCAGAAGAGACTGATGAGAGGAACAAAAGAGTATGAGAAATACATTGTGAACAGAAGGAATAGACTTAGGCACTCAGACCCTGGCAGGAAGTGGATCACTATGGGGAATCGTCTAAGGAGTAAGGTGCTTTCTATTAGACGAAACACCCCTGGAGCTGGATGCTGGTGATGGTGAGGAGGAATGGAGCTCAAGGATGGGAACATCTTTATAAATGGGAAACTTCTTATTATATAGTTTGATTGGAGATGGTCAAACATCCACAGCTGAGGTGGTGAAAGGGTGGAGGTGGATCACAAATTCTTTGCGTTGTTGAAATGACAGTTGAATGACAGCAGAAAGAGAAGATGCTTTTAAAATTTGTCAGCTTATGTGTGATTGGCTAAAGGCCAGCTTGTCAGATTGTGTTTGGATCAAGATGAGGATGAGCTGGTGCAGCTTAGGGAGAGCGGGTAATGTTGTCGCGAGCACAAGGAGAGTCTCTCTGAAGCTTCATAGGGGCCTGTTTGTGCTCTTTCAGAACTATTGTCTGACATCAAGAGTGTTTATACCTGATTCAAACAGCAATACTCAAAGGTGGAGTCAGCTTGTCTCTCAAGCTCTCTTTTTCTTTCCATCACTTTTTATGTGAACAACATAACTGCAACACTATGATTAAAAATACATAGGATGCGCTGGGACTCATCATCAGTGATGTTCCTGAGGTCACTGGGTGTTTCAGGGCTCACTCAGGCGACCCAGCCAGACTTGATCAGGCTCTGGCTTGTGTCCCAACAGCATTAACCCACGTGTAACTCCTCATCCTAACTTCTTGGCAGCCTCCATGGTGGACTTGATGGCTTTTCTTTTATCAGCCCTGGTGATGCCAAGCAGGATGTAGGCCTTTTTCAGTGATCACCCAGCAAAACCTCTACACCCCTCTTCAATGGGCTCACAGTGTGCCTTCCAGCCTCTCCTCCAGCACTGCTCCAACAGCTCCTTATATTTGGACCTCTTCAGTTCATTGGCCTCCTCCATGCGGTCCTCCCAGGGAACTGTAAGCTCTATGAGCAGCACCTGCCTTGAAGAAGCTGAAGATGGTACCATGTCTGGCCTCAGCGTGGTTGCCATGACATGGTCCAGGAGCTTGAGCTGCCTCCCCAAGTCAACTTGCAGCTCCCAGTCAAGGGCAGAGGTTAGCAATCCAGCTGCTGGTCTGAGATGCACCTGCGGCTGCTCACCAGCTCTGACAAAGGTGATGTTCTTCTGGCAGCAGACAATGTTTGTTTTTAGTCATAGCTTTGCTTTTGATGGCTTCTGGCATGGTCTTAAGCACCTGGTCATGCTGCCAGCGGTAGCAGCATTCCCCCAAGTGCAGTTGCACACTTGACACCTGCCTGTACCTCCTCCATGACATAATGACATCTGTCCTTGCCATGAGTCTTATTGTATTGAGGTTGTGGGATGGATCCCAGTCCCGCCCATCCAATTGCCCCTGTGCCTACCAAAGCCCTGTGTCTCAGCTGAGACTCTGTTGCTTCCAGGCCTTCTTGGGCTCTCCGCTTCCTGCCTGTCTGCACAATGATGTCTGCTGCTGCCACTCTGGGGTCCTTGGAGTCCTGGTAGAATAGTGCCTCTCTTGAGCAAGTGACCCTAAATTCCTTGTCCAGACTACTGAAGGGGAGCTGGAGTTTATTGCTCCTCCCTTAGAGTGCTGTACTGCTAAAGTTCCACGGCACACCCAGTCATCTGCAGAGGTAGCTGCTGATTTTCTTCTCACTTTCAAAAGAGATAACTAATAAGATGCCGTGCTGATAGATCCGAGCCTTGAACCTGCCAGGTAATCCATACTTGTCTACCTTGGTGAGCCAAGATTCTGGCTCCTTGATGGTTGAGTGGATCACTGCTGTATCCCTGAAGCTACAATTAAAGACCTTGCCCAGGCTTTTGACTGGTTTCTCCTTAATGGATGAAATTGCAATGCCGAAATGGAACTTATCCACCACCCTTGGACCTAGATCTGGCAGGCTTGAAACTCATCCTTGTCCAGGCCATGAACTTCTCTAGGCCCTGGAGTATCCACCTACCTCCAGGCACTGATGATGTGATGACAGTAAGATCATCCATGAAGGCTCTGATGGGGGGCTGCTGAGTGCCAGACTTGGACAGAAGGCCTCTGCACTCAGTCTCTGCTGCCTTGACCAACATGCTCATAGCAAGGGCAAAGAGAATAACAGAGATGGTACAACCAGTTATTATCCCCTTCTCGAGCCAATGCCAGTCTGATGTTATGTTCCCAGAAGTGAATCTGAGCCTGAAGTTGCCATAGTAGTATGAATGTCTCCCAGGAGAAAATATGTGCTGTTATCTCCACTTTTGGACAGAATATCTCATCTCCCCCCTCTCTATGACTGTTAGCTTTTCACTCCACATTCCAGTGTGGCTGCTCAGAACAACTAGATACACTTGATTCCTGACATGGTCAGACTACATGTTTTCTGAACTAGCTGTTGTCCAGCTTAACCTAACCCTCGCCCTCCCCTTTGATACATGAAGGACACATTATTTCCTACACTGACACTGAACATTGACCCCAGATATGAAATGTGAGCTGCACAATCTTCCAGTTTGAATGTCATTCCTATACTTGGGATGCTTGGTGGGGACCCTGTTTTTTTCACTGTCATTTCACTTTTATTCAATTTCATGTCACACAAATTAGAAATAAAAATACAATACAAGTATACAAATAGCAATAGGTGAAAACGGAACACCCCAATAAGGTTCAAAAGCTAGAAATAAGCTTGTGAATAGGGGCCCAGTCAATGCATGTACAAAATACAATTTCAGCCATAAAATACCTAAATCCTAAAACCTAATTCCTAAAACCATTTTAAAAAAACTAAAAAAAAATGAAATCTTCCAAAACATCTGTCCCATCAGTCCATATATAAATTTAATAGGTAAGATACACAACCAGGAATAAATAGTAGAAAAAAAAGACCTCAGCCTTTCATGGAACACAGGTTTAAACATATTTTAGCAACTGCTGCTCTAAGTTCTTTTTAAAAGCAGATAGAGATAGTAACATTTTTACAGTCTTATCAGGCACATTCACACCTGTGGACCTCTGCAGACCACACTAAAACTTGTGCATTTAAGTTTATGTTTCTTTCCCTGTATAAGATGTTTTTTCTGGTCTTGTATGTATGTGAGGGAAGGTAAATTGGAATGAGGTCACAGAGTCTGTCATTTAGCTTAAATACAACATTATACATGATA